TATTTTTCATAAATACTTTTAAAAACTCTGTGATGATTCCCCGAAGTTAAAGTCCAAATTCATACGATCCCCTCCCTGACCTATACATACTTCTCAAACCTTCTCATTAGTTATTCTAGTATTCACTGTACTCACTCTGAATTTCTTACACTTCCCTGAAAAGTACAGCAAGCCAGTTGGTTTAGTGACAAATACAATTTTTTAATGAATGAATGGTGAGGCTGATAATCCTTACCTTGAACTACTTTTGTGAGCTGAGCATTAAATAAAAGAATATATGAGGCTGTTAGCACAGTTCCTGAAACATAGCAGATAGTCAGGATATATTAACTCCTTCCTCCTTTTCTCCTCCATACCAGTGCAGATGAATGAATTTATAACTCTGAACATTATTAGGGTATTGCAGCTAAAGTCACTTTTTGGGAGGTATTTCCTATCAAATCTCACTATCTATTTGGTGTTTACTCCAAAAAGACACCCTGGTTTGTCTTCAATTCCCCAGAATGCAAATCTTGACACAAATTTAACTTTCTTAGGTAAGCTGTCCCAACAAAATACATACTTTAATATTTGAGTCAGATCCTTCCCAAATCTCTTGGAAATAATCACTACATGCCCATCATCTGATAAAGGAATAAAGAACAGCTGTATCTAAGGAAATACATTCATGGGGTCTGGTTTTACTTTATTTGAGCATGTTAGGTAGATGGGGTCATTATTAATAGAAGGATCTGAGAGTTTTAGAATTGCAAGCTGCTGCTGCTGGTTGCTATTTATCAAAATATTATCTTCTTGCTGTAAAAATGCTTTCCTTTTCATGCCAGATTTCATAAAGATCTTCCATCTGGTCAGTACTGATAACTAGAATCTTGAGATGCTCATTCTTATAACTTAAAATGATCCAGATGTAGAAGGATTAGGTTTTATAGCTTCTTCTAAAGGATTTTGTCTTCCTAATCCTACAACTGCATGTGTTGAGAACTGATCAACATGAGAGAACTCTAACAATGAACCTATTATAGCTGCAGTCCCCAACTCCAGGGCCCGCAGACTGGTACGGGTCTGTAGACTGTTAGGGACTGAGCCTCAGAGCTCTGTGCACCTCTTCACACCCCGTCCGTGGAAAAATTATCTTCCATGAAACCGGTCACTGGTACAAAAAATGTTGGAGACTGCTGTACTGCTGTATTAAAGTGTTCCATTGCCTATATGTATTTTTCATTCCACATGTTTTAGGAGAATAAAACCATGAAATAAAAGCACTGAAGTCTATAATGACAAGGTCTATAGTGTACCACAGGTAATCTACAGTGATTGAGACAAAATAAGAGAACTAAAAATGACAAGTAAAATTAGAATAGAACTGTATTAGGAACAGAGTTCTCAAGAATTTGCCAATTTGTTGTGATCTAGGAATAAGCCAGTTGACTGAATGATCTCTATAAAATCTGTTTCTGTTTCTTATTCCACAAAATGTGGGAACAAATACCAAATTATGAAAAGTGGATGGGCTATTGATGAAAGTCCCTTCATTCCCAGTCCTTTCGTTCAACCCGCTCCTTGGCAAGTTTATTGACATGGGACCTAAGTTTTAGGAACCACAATACTGGTTCTAAGAAAATTACTCACGGAAGAAAAAACAAGGGAGAAGTTAATCACTCTGAGGAACTGCTGCCCCATTCCCAAACCAAGTGATTCTCCCTTTTCTCTTCTAGCTTCTCTCATCTGTCCCCTTCTCACTTATATAGCATACTTGTCTTCAGTGTTTCCCTAAAGGTAATGTTCACATAGTTTCACACATATGGAAATGTGGTAGGTGGAGAAGAAAAGAAGCATAAAGCATGAGATGCCAGACTCACCTCTGCCCTGAGATGGCCTTGATAACTTATGGTGTGAACAACAAGTTCCTATTTGATAGAAATTCACCTTTGTAGCAGCCTCAATCTCATTTTTCCAGGTAAATAAGCCTGTAGAAATAAAGGGAGAGTGTCCCCATATTAAAATATTAGATTTAGATCTTTTATTTTTAAAGGGTAGTATAGAAATAAAATTCCAAGAAGGGCTATAAAACAAACATGGAAAAAAATGACCTGTGTGTAAAGGTGGGGTGTAGGGAATTGGACACTTCAGCAATGAGAAGATGACCCAAAAGTTCAGGACCTGAGGCTTTTTGCAAAGGGATCTACTTTTCATTTGAAGCCTTGCTGTCTTGATGGTGATGGTGGTCGTAGTGTGTTGTCCCCACCCAGACACTGGGAGGTGCTTGAGCCACGTGGGGACAAGGTGCTATGAGTGATATATCTTACTTCCCTCTTCAGTAATAATCCCATCAAATATCAGGAAATGGGGATGTATTACAGTGTCACCTGGACTGGAGATGTGTCCTGGATTTTGTCTCTTCCTAGATATCACCTCTGAGAATCCCTGACTTTATCTTCCTCAAAAGAATGGAAATTTATTCACATGATTGCTGCTGCTAGGCATCAATAAGAGGAAATGGGAAGCAAATGTTTTGTATAGACACCAGAATGGCTAACATAGGTGACATCAGGGTAAGCTGTAAGGGAGGCCCCACTCCTGTGGGCAAGTGTTGAGACATGAGCCAAAGTCTCCAACTACTTGGTCTGGGAATATACCCTGAGTAAAGTCACCGTGGGCAGTAGAAGAGGAGAGAATGAATATTTGAGTTTCCCATGTTTGTAATGTTGATTTCTGTAGAATTTTAAATTTGTCAGCTGGTGGATATACATTGTTAATTTGAATACTCTTTATTATAAAAATAATCTGTTAATCCTAGAAATCCTTATGAAAGGAACAATAGCCACCTAAAGGAATATTTACACATGCATATACCTGTAGACCAGAGTCTTGGCTGCATTTTTTAAAGCTCCTTTCCAGCTCTATCATTTAGAAGTCTCAATTTATACAGAGATCTGTAGCAATTCTTGGAGCTTCTGCCGCCCATATCAGGTGATGATGACATAACAGTTAAGTTCTATCAACAAGGATGAATCAGGATTTGAGTGAGTTGCTCTATATAGCTTTCTTAGTGATGAAATACCTGGGTAGAGGTACTTCTCCCATCTTGATGCAGCAAAACGGTTAGCTGTGAGGTGCTATGCAATTTTAGAAATAAGCAACATAGTTTGTTTTAAACAAGGTACAGAAGCTGAATTGAATTCCACTTAGGAGGTCTGCTTATCATCACAGCTCTGTGGGCTGGAGGCTAAAGTTCTGAAGGGAGGGAAAGGGCGGGTAGGCATATTTTGTGCATTTGGTAAGTGGGCCTCAAACACCTCCACTCACTCATTTGTTGAAGACAGGGTCATCTCACTTAATTCAGCAAGAAAACAACTGCACCAGTAAGAGAAGAAAGGCTGGCTCATAATCTCCTTTTTGCATTTCAGAGGTATGTCAAATATGCTCCCCATAAAAGAGGCTGTGCAGGAAACAGACCCAGGCATCTGCTTTGTCCCTCATGTACAATGTTAAGTCAGGGAAGCTGTTAAGTCTACTCTAGGTGTTTAAGGTTATGCACATTATGTCTGAATGTGTAACTGTGCAAAATATATATTCTGGAGCAATGTTCAGATTAGGAGCACGTATAGCTTAGAGCTCAGGGAGAAAGTGTAAGAATAGTAAAAAGAGCCTGAATTATTTGGGAAAAGACACTGCTCCCCCAGCCCTTGACCATATTTCCTCCTGGGGCCCCTCCTTCTCTGAGATTGGGTGCAGGAGGCAGGGAAGGACAATCAGAAAGGTTAGGAAGAAGCACCCTGGGATGCTGGCACCCTCTGCCTCATCCTTCATACTCAAGGACAAGCAAGCAGTGTCATTGGAATACAAGGTCCTTTACAAAACTGGACACAAGCAGAAACGTACCAAAGTACACATATTTTGACAATGCAAAACCATGTATGATCTTGTGATAGGACCTAGAACCACTTCCCTTTAGCCTCAATTCCTTTTCATTTTCACGATGTAGGGGGCAGAGTCTCATCTTACAGTAGGGTGGAAATAGCTTAAGACTAAACTTCCCATCTTAACTTGCACTTTCCGAGATTTATTTTGTAATTTAAGAAAATGAGTCAGCCGCATCGCCTCCCCACCTGGGTATTTCGTTTATCAGGACTGAGCACATCATTATTTTCCAAGTGCTTGGAGCAATCGCGCAGTCCTTTCTAATGGAAGGTATTCAATCAGTGCTGGCTTTGAAATCACCTCGTCCACCCGCGATCCCTGGAGCACGCCATCTCCGTGTGATTTCTACTCAAGTTTTCCCCCTCCTACCACCCCGTTCGCATTCATTTAATCTTTAAGCTGCCTCAAATCCTTTTGCAAGGAAGCAGGATAAAATGCTTAAATCACTGTTATACACCATGTCGACTCTCAGGTTCACGTTCGAGCAAGACATGCGCTCCGTACTAAGTAGTCCAGGGGGCGACCTTCACAGTCTCCCTCCCGACACCCTGAGCCCCAACTCCCGCCGTCTTTGCGCCTCAAAGGTGGCAACAATCTCCAAGCCAGAGCCTGAGCCCCTGGCCCTGGTGGGGGTGACAAGGGAAGCCGAGGCCGTCCCCGGAAGGTGTGCGCCCCTCACCTTGTGGACGGTGCGTGCAGCCGAGTCGCACAGGGCGAGCTGGGGCGTCCCGCTGGCTCCAGAAGTCTCACTCGGAACCGGCTCCTTTTTCTCCCGAGCTTTCTCAAAGCAGCGCTTCTCGCATCACCCGGGTCTGAGGTACGCTGCACCCAGAGGCGCGCTCCCCTCCGGCGTCCTTGCCCGCGCCAGTGCCCCCGGGCTGCGGCGAGACAGAGCGGGGAGCGCGGCGCGCCAGGCAGCCCCGCGGCAGCGCGGGTGGCGGGCGCTGCGCTTCGCCGCGTCTGGGCGCGCGGACTGCAAGAGCAGGCGAGAGAGAGGGAGAGCGCGGAAGAGGAGGAGCAGGAGCGGGGGGCAGTCTATGAACTCTACCGCGCAGGTTGCAGCCACCTGGGACGCCACCGAACGGAGAGGCGGGTGGCTGGGATGAAAAGACGAGCAGGGGTGCAAGGCAGGGGGCGGTGTGGAGGAGAACTGGGGGTCGGAGCACCGAGGTACTCCAGGTCTGGCTGAACCTGCAAAAGAGAAATGCTGGAGCTGATGGCGCCCTGAGGGCTCCCTATCGCAAACACTAGAGGGCAGCGCTGTCCGCGTTATAACCGGGGCCGACCGGGCTGGAGGTGTGGGTGAGGGACCCAGCTCCTGAGCCCGTTGCAGGCCGCGGCCCAGGCGGAGAAGGGGACAGCTGATTCAGAGGCAGACCCTAGTCCCCTGCTCTGTGGCGAGCCTGCGCCGGGGAGGGAGAGGAAGAGAGGGGTAGCTGACGGGTTCGGACGGTTTCTCTCAGAGGCTCCTCCAGGCAAACCCTCTGGAGGTGAATTCCTCAGTTTTCCTCAAGGGGAAAATTAGAGCCCGTATCCTCAGGGTGCCTTAAGGAGAGAGATGAGGAGAAAGAGACGAGGGAGAAGTGAAGGAAAATTGGGGCAGAAGGAGAGCAGAGAGGTGGGGAAAGCCGAGAAGAAAAGGAGATAGGCGTAGGGGTCGGGTGGGTGGTTGGCGCTGAGGGAAACGCTGAAGGCGGCCTTGCCATTTTTTTTTTTTTTTTCTTCTGGAGGTAACTCTACTCCAGGGGCCGTTTCAGGTTGGCAGAGGGCCTTGTGCCCTTCCTAGTGGTCCGGGAGCTATTCTTTCTGCCGTTCTGGTTCTGCTGCAAGGCCAGGCAGGTTAAGCTGGGAGGCACTTTACAGAATCCTGGCACTGCTGAAGGACGATTCCTTAGGGCTGGTTGGTTATTTTCTGTGGAGAACTTGGGCGACTCTGAAACCTTGAAGGTTTACATAGATTGAGTCCCGGAAATTGTGGGGAAAAAAATCAGATGATTTGAGCTAGCCGTAAAATGAGGTAGAAAATCTTATGGAGACAATCTGATCTGTAGACAGACTGACACACAATCTTAGAGCTGAAAAGACTTGGAACCCATGTAGACAACCTGTGTATCTCCCCAAACACCTGCCCCATACTTGCCTTTCTTGTTTGTGGCCTTATGGCCGACTTCAGAAAGCATTTTTAATTTTTTTTTCTTGCAGTTTGGCAACTCTAAACCAAATGAAATTCTCTTCAATTCAAAAAGCAAGCCTGTGTGCCCTTCTTGCCTTCTGGAGTGCCCCTTAAGACCAGCAGGGCTGAGTGAGGGGTGTGAGGGGAAGTTCACTGAAGAAGAGAAAGGAAGGTTGGTAAGCTACAGTCTTGAATTGTGATTTGCTGCTGTTAATTCCACTAAACTAAGGGAATAGGTTTAAGTAGACATCTTGACATGCATTTGATGATAAAAGTGTTATGTAAAAATAAACAACAAGAGTCATTCTTAATTTTTAAAAAGAATCTTACAGGACTGAAGTTTTTTTAGACACCTAAAAGAGGCAGTAAGGACTTTGTCCTACTCTGGCAATTTTGGAGCTCTTCTGAAAGAGAAAGGAAATTTGAGTTCATTCTGTTCTTTTAATTGCTTTTTTTTTTTTTTTTTTAAGAAATTGGCTTACCTATTTGGTTATTACAATGTAAGCGACTATGAAAACATTATACAGTTGAAAGTATCCAGAATACCCCTGTTTTGGCAGATTTCAACTTCATGAGGTTCATGGTTATTCTGAAGCTATTAATTAACTTCTGGAATATATTTCACTGGTTTTAATGAAAGTCAACACTTTCTTAATCAAGAGATAATAATTCAATTTGTGGATTACTCACTTGAATTTCCAATGGGCTCTATGAGTGCTTTAAGATTGCAGCTATATGAAATGCAGATCATATCTGCATTTCATCATGGAGAATTCCTTCTCAGTTAAAAAACTATCTGTAAGGATTAAGTGGAGCCCTGGGCACCTGGCACAACAAATTCATCAACTTGCAGTGGGAACTCAAACGTAATTATGAAGAAATTAATTTATCGAATCCACTCATTCATTCAAAAACTGTTGATGAACACCTATCATGTTCTAGGCATGAGATATCTTCTAGGAATAAAATAAAGAAGGTACAGTTTATTCTCTCATAGTCTAGTGGAAAGACTGATTCATAAACTAGTGAATCCATTCCAGAGTAATAGTTGGCAGAAGGGGGAAGTACTGGGTGCTGTGGGAGCACAGAGGGCAATCTAATCCTAGATGGGGACGATGGGGAGAGATAGCCAGGGGTGGTGGTGGGAGTAGTGTGTGTGTAAGAGGAGGGGTGGTTGGTGGTGGTTGCTAGTGGGAAGAATGATGATTGCTCCATCCCCAAGACACTTCTAATCACATTTGTTAATTTTCCTCTTGGCTACTAGAACTTCATTTTAATATATAAGGAAGCAAACATGCATATGCTGCATTTTCCTGCTAGGAGCTGGGCTACAAGTTTCAAGAGGCAGAGACTATATATGACTTGTTCATCATACCAATACAGAGAAGAGTCCAGATCCTGGTTGACGTTGTAGTTTCTCACCTCCACCATCGAAGTGGGAATAAAGTGGGAGGGGAAGGAGTTATGATGGAGAGGGAACTCACATTTATTGAGCTCTTTCATACTCACTTAACAATTAACTCACTTATCCCACTGAACAATTTCCACAACCTTATGACATAGTTCTTATCTCATTCTACTGTTGATTTCAAAGACTGAGCTTTAAATTACATTCTGTGGTGTGACAAAGCCCAGAGGAGTATGGAATGTCTATAAATAGTTTCTCTATGTATCAGCTTTCAGTAAGTTATGTTATGGTAACCAAGAACAACCCTTAATCCTAGTGGCTTCTATAGTAAAGGTTCCTATTTCACCCACAGTACATATTAGCTATGGACTGGCTGCAGCTCCACTTCACATGTTTATTCTGGCATCTAGGCTGATGGAGCCAGGCTGTTCTCAGGGTAGGAGGAAGGGAAAAGGAGAAACAGCACAATGTCTCTTAAAGCTTCTGCTTAATTATAGGATAAACCACTTCTGCTCACATTCCACTGGCTAAACCAAGTCTTATGGCTGAGCCTAATGTCAACTCAATAAAAAGCAGGCTTTCTCCACTGAGAGAAATTTCTAGGGAGGAGCTCTGTAGAGCTGAGCCTGAGATTGACAAAATATTGTGAACAGATTATTCAATTGGCAACAGTCTCCAGCATTGTTTTTATTTTGAAAAAATTCAAAATTTTTAATTATTATGGGTATGTAATAGTTGTATATATTTATATTTATATTATGTACATGTGATGTTTTGATACAGGCACACAATGTGTATTAATCAAATCAAGGTAATTGAGGTATCCATCACCTCAAGCATTTATCATTTCTTTGTGTTAGGAAATTTCCATTTCCACTCTTTTAGTTCTTTTAAAGTATACCCCAATTTATTGTTGATTATAGTCACTTTGTTGTGCTACCAAATATTGTTCATTCTATATAACTACATTTTTGTGCCCATTAACCATCCCTACTTTCCCCTCCCTACTACCCATCTCAGCATCTGATATCTATCATTATACTGTCTGTCCCCAAGACATCAATTGTTTTAATATTTAGCTCCCACATACGAGTAAAAACATGCAACAGCTGTGCTTATTTCACTTAACATAATGTTCTCCAGTTCCATCCATATTGTTGCAAAAGGCAGAATTTTGTTCTTTGTTATGGCTGAATAATACTCCATTGTGTATATGTAGCACAATTTCTTTATTCATTCATCGTTAATGGACACTTAGGTTGATTTCAAATCTCTGCTATTGTGAATAGTGCTGCAATAAACATGGGAGTGCAGATATCTTTTTAATATACTTATACCTTTTGTTTTGGATATATACCTAGCAGTGGGATTGCTGGGTTGTAAGGTAGTTCTATGTTTTAGTCTTTTGAGGAACCTCCATACTGTTCTTTGTTGTGGTTGCACTAATTTATATTCCTATCTACAGTGCCCAAGGGTTTCTCTTTCTCCACATTCTTGCCAGCATTTGTCATTGCCTTTCTTTTGGATAAAAGCCATTTTAACTAGAGTGAGATGGCATCTCATTGTAGTATTGATTTGCATTTCTCTGATGACTAATGATGCTAAGCATTTTTTTGTAATTTGTGTGTCTTCTTTCGAGAAATGTCTATTCAGATATTTTGCCCATTTTTACTTGGATTATTTGATTTTTTTATGGAGTTGTTGGAGCTCCTTATATATTCTTGCTATTAATCCCTTGTCAGATGGGTAGTTTGCAAATATTTTCTCGCATTCTTTGGGCTGTCTCTTCACTTTTTTGTTTGTTTCCTTTGCCACGCAGAAGCGTTTTAGCTTGATGTTTTCCCATTTGTTCAATTTTGCTTTGGTTGCCTGTACTTTGCAGGTATTACTCAAGAAATCCTTGTCCAGACCAATGTCCTGAAGTATTTCCCCAATGTTTTCTTTTAGTAGTTTCAGGTCTTAGATTTAATTCTTTACTCCATTTTGATTTGACTTTTGTATATGGTGAGAGATAAGGGTCCAGTTTCATTCTTCTGCATATGGATATCCAGTTCTCCCAGCACCATTTATTGAAGAGACTGTCCTTTCCCCATTGTATGAGCTTGGAAACTATCACAGGTAAGTTCACTGTAGATGTGTGGATTTCCTTCAGGGTTCTCTGTTCTGTTCCATTGGTCTACGTGTCTATTTTTTTTATGCCAGTGCCATGATGTTTGGGTTACTACAGCTCCGTAGTATAATTTAAAGTCAAGTAATATGATTCCTCCAGTTTTGTTTGCTCAGGATGGCTTTGGATATTCTGGATCTTTTGTGGTTCCATATAAATTTTATAATTATTTTTTTCTATTTCTGTGAAGAATGTCATTAGTATTTTGATGGGGATTCTGGCACTGCTTTTGAATGAAGGTATTTTTACTTTAAATATTTATTTGTTGATTCTATTGGCTAACTGGGTTCACCAATCTTAGGATACAGGGAGCAAAATAATGAACATAGGCTGATTAGCTTAATTGATTAGAATATGTCATTTGGGTAAAAATTGTACAGGGAACAGTTGGCAAGTTGGCCTTGCACTAAGAGAAAGCTCCACCCTCTGGCCACAGACTGCCTCTTCCTCCAGGTTGACACATGTATTTGTTCCCATAAGGAAATAAGTAAGGCAGACTTGGTGGAACAAAACCTCAAGTTCTAGTGGTCTTGACAGTGGCTCATTTCAACACACTTTTTCATCAAAAGTAATCATGAGAAGCAAGACATTCACTGAGGAGTAGAACTAGTGGATACATTTTCAATAACTATTTCTTGAGCACCTCAACTTGGAAGTTGGAAAGAGGTATGGAGGACCTGGCCCCTGCCCTCAGGGAGCTCAAAGCCCAAGGCAGGGGAAGGCACTTACATGAATTACTACATGAAGGAGCTGAAGGAGTGGAGAAGCCTCTGTGGAAGAATGTTCAATCAAGAAAAATCTGTACGGTATTAGGCTCTCTCAGTGTAGGGCTCCTCTTTCTGTCTCCCTGACCCCCGGGAGCCTGCTTCTCTGTGGTTGTGGGGGTTATCCCTAAGTGGCATGTGTGTGCATCTGGGGACTCACCAGCCTGATCCTCTTCCGATGGACAGGCCAGAAGGCACATGCTCTATGTGTACTAAACAATTGTGTTCCTATGCTCCTGTATTATTAAGTAAATAACTTCCAAGTGGAAACTATGAAGGCACAAAAAGATTGAGTTTTAAAACCTGGTAAGAGAAAGAGGGTAGCTGCCTATAAAAATGACTCACATAGTCGTGCCTAGATATCCTCGTAATGAAGAACCCATTTGTATCTGCTGCTCTTGAGTTTTACTCAAATCTGTCAGTCCTTGTTATACATTTATAGGTGGCCTTTGGTGATTTGGGAGGTGATTCATTCATATTATGGCAGCTCCCTCCTTTCTTTCATTGTTGTACTTGACAATATGTAGGCTGGTCATCAAACTTCATGGTTCAGATTCCAGCTCCACAACTTATAGCAGAGTGACCTTGGGGTGACTTCCTATGTTACATTGTCTCAGTCTCCACATATCTAGAGTGGGGATGAAAGCATACTTTTAAGGCTGGTATGAGGGTTTCTCACATGGGATAATGCATTAAAGTGTATGGCACAGTGGCTAGCACATAGTAAGCGATCGATGTTAGCTAGTATGATGATCTTTTCCTTTTTCTTTACTGTCTAAAAGCATGACTCATCTATGTTAGCTAGTATGATGATCTTTTCCTTTTTCTTTACT